ACAACGTCTACGCGATGGAAGAAGAGGGCAAGATTACCCCCATTTGTTCCAGCTCACAATTTTGGGTAAATTTTGAGGGTGGGGGCTGTGGAGTGTTTATATAGTTAGGGTAATTTTGGGTGAAATGGGGTATTTATCCCACAATTATCCCAATAAACCAATAACACCATCAAATATACACCAAACCCAATTACCCCAAATAACATCAAAAAATGTTGTTTCAAAAATTAGCCCATTATCCCCAAAATTACCCCATGAATAACCCCCTAAGAGGTTAAACTTATAGGATCTTTTGTTCGATTTATATGTGAGATCATAAGGCATTGCTCATCTAGCTGTTGGCAATTTCCTTTGTGGTTTGTATAGGTCTTTTAGCGAGAGTTTTCCTTTCCTTTTATGTTGTCTTCTTTGGACCAATCTTTTCGTTCATCTTATATTTGGCTCATTGTAATTTTCTCATCTACTGAATATAACTCTTTGATACCATCCATTCGTTGAGCAGATAGGCTATTCTCTTCTATATTTCTTTGATATCGTTGGTACAGATAGTTTTGATGTCCAATTAACTGGCCAATGTGTGTAAAGAATAACGTAAGATAGTCAATGATGGGCCTAAATATTTGTTTTTCAATTCACATAATTGATCATTTTCTTAAGATCAATTTGCTCATCTCAATATTACATTCAGTGATTACAGGTTCAATTTTTCTCTCCATCGTCCCTTCATTTTCCCCCTCGAGTAATTCTACGTTTCATTTGATAGTACATACTTATTTGTTTGGAACTTGATAAGGGTGTATTGTCTTAGCATATGGACTATCTTGATCATGCCTGTTGATATGTATATATATATTCTCTGCAGAATATAAGAGGGAGAAAAGTACCCACAAAGTTTTGCTGGATATGCATTGAAACTTTTTGTGGCTGCCATTGCAGAACTTTTTTAAACCCTGATGACTGATGACACTTATTCATACTTACATATTCATTGCAAAATCTATACTTATAAATGAGAATAGCCATGTCAAAACTTTTGATTTCCTATTTTACCATTTCAAATTTTGATAATTCACAATTATACCATTATTTGTAATTAATCCTTATCCATAACTCTTTATTAAATGCACCTCCTAATCTCTCCCAAAATATTTGGTCAAGAATATAATTATCATCAATAGTTTATAATCTAATGTTACATACAAATGCTTAAATCTATATTTAGAATTTTAGAGTGTCAAATTTCATTTTCCAGGTCCTTAATCGCTTGTTGCGGGGCTTTGCAACCTGCTTTCCTATCTAAAAATTTGAAACGAGTAGATTGGAGGGACATCAAGGTTTAAGCCATAGGAGGACCAGAAATTTGTGGGGACTATCTGACGTAGAATTAGACAATGGTGTTCCTCATTTTTCATCGATTTGTGTTCTTTTAGCACCAACTGCTAATGAGTCAAAAATTTCAGCGCAAGACTATAAATTTCCTGCTAGTCAGTCACACAATAGTATAGGATAAAATTAATCAAATAATTATAATAATAAGATGTAGTGTCTAGGCTTTTAAAATTCAGTTTGGATCAATACATAAACTATGAACCCAATTAACTAACAAACAACACTTTTCATTTTTCCTTTATATAACATCTCTTTCATATCTTGAGTATAAATTAGCTCATACATTTTCTTTCACTCACATAACACCTATTAAGCCAAATTCATACAATTACAAAATAAAAGTTCAACCGAAACTCAACTTGGATTAGAATGGGAAACTTAGCTTCTATGTCTCATTAACCTACACATTCAGGTTCTTGTAGCTGTTGGCCAATCTAATTACCTAAGGGTCCTAACGCACAAATTTCTCATTACATCCTTTATTTAGGTTTCATGAATATTAATAAAATCTAAACTATCTTAAACGCATGAATCGAGAGTTTTCCATCAATTCACTTCATCATTTTACGATGCACATTTTAAATTTAGCATTAAACAAGTATGTCCACGTGCAATGCACGTGCACTTTACTTGTATGTAGATAAAATCCGATATATGATGCAATGATTATGCGTTGAAAATATTTGTGCTCATGAACCGTATATAATCTTCCTTTCACCCAGACTCTTTCTTAATCTGATGAATTTAGAAAATCATTTCTTGGTTGCATGAGCTTAATTGTATGATCTATAAGGTAATATCCCTTAGCAATCAGCTGATAAGTTTTATGGCAAGCATTTCCTGTTGACGATCCGGACACTTCACCTCGTGGAACAATGTTGACTCCTCTCGATTTGACGTTGAGGAAAACTTGCGTGGCAAGTATGAAAAACTCTTATCAAGTTCGAGAACTCTGGACGAGTTATAACTCTTATGAAAGAGTTGATTTGAACCGAGTAATCGGTTATTAGCCAAGGGCCAAAGCTCCAAACCTTCTGTTGCCAAGGTTGCCAAGGTTGAAGACGATCTCCAATGACGAATGCCTCCAAAGCCCGATCCTCAAAGCCAGCCAAGATCCCTCCTATTTATAGGGTTTTTTAGGGGTGCAACCGCCCCTTAAATCTCTCCTTAATGGGAGATCATGGGGTGTAACCGCCCCTATTAAGTGGAAGCGGTTTTGAAACCGTTCCAGCTCATATTTGAATGAGTCAAACGCCCAAGATGACGTTTTGGGCTTGAACACAGAGTTGGGACTGCATTTGGGCTGAAAACACAGTAGTCGCACTTCGTTTTGAATCTAGAATGTAAGGCTAGTCCTAACTCTGCGTTTTGCTCTTGGAACGCAGCCACAAGCTCTGCGTCTTGAGTTGAAGAGACCGTCAATTTGTAGTCTCTTTTGCTAGAGCGTTGTAAAGATCATCATCTTGTAATCTTCGTCTTGGCTCCTTAAAAATATGAGAGTCGTCAGATTGTAACCCTCGATGTCGATTGTGAAGGCTGTTGAATAAGAGGCTAAGAGCTTTCATCGGCTGTTGTGAATGTTGTCAAATTATAACCTTCATCGATCTATGTGAAAGTCTTCAAGTTATAGCATTCTGGAAGCCGTCAAATTATAACTTGCATCATCGGTGTTTTATGGGGATCAACTATCTTCTGTAATTTTTAGACAGCCTACAGAACCCCTTCCAAAGTTTTTAAAAGTTCGCGGTTGACTGAGATAAATTTTTGGAATACTTTGAATCTCAACTCTGATTCTTGGAGCTGTTGATTCCTTGTCACAAAGGAGTTATTCTCTGCACCCGCTTCGAAGGCATCTTGGAGTTGGTTGCAGAAATTTGCTGAATAGGACCCGTATGAGGGTGTGCGTCATAATTCTGTTTCTGGATCGCGAGGGTGGATCTTTGCGTTTTGAACTTGAGACGCGGGTCCCACTCTTGCATTTTGAATTTGGAACGTAGGATCGACCTTTGCGTTTTGGTTTTGCAACGCATGTCTACCCTTGGCGTTTTGTATTTGGAACGCAGGATTTGACCTCAGCGTTGTATTTTTGCAATGCGTGTCTGACCTCGATGTTGTGTCTTGAGACGCGGAGGCGGCCTTCGTGCATTTTAACTAAGTCTTTGAGACTTGTTTTTAGCTCGTCCGTTTCAAGTCTCGGCTGACATCCATTCAGCTAATAGGTCTGTGAACATTCATAGGATTTTTAGCAACCCCTCAACGGATTTGATAAGCCTAAACCAACTACCGTTTGAGTCGGGCTAGCATGTGGATTGTCTAAATCTGTTCCACATGTAACATTGTGCTAAAATAATTAACTTTCTTAGTGCTACGATATTGAATACGTAGGCTTCGCCATTGTTACGGGAATAGGCTACCCGACAGCATGTGTCAGATGCAGACTTACCTCTATTTAGGGATCAAGGTAAAGTCCCCCAGAATGAATTCTGGTGTTTTTTTCGCAGTGAAAGATTAACCAGCAGCGCATTTTAGGCACAGACTTATCTCTATTAGGAGTAGAGATAAAATTCCCCAGAATGAATTCTGGTGTCTCTTTCGCGATGAAAAACTAACCAGCAACGCTTGTTAGGCGCGGGTTTTTGTCTTTTTTCGGTTAAAGACTAACCGGCAATGCGTGATAGGCGTTGACTGTAAATTATATTAATAATTGTGATAATCATTTTTGCGAAGGATATGCCTGTACTTCCGTTACTTTAGCAGTATGCTGCATTGCATGCAGTAACTCTCACCAGATCTTATTGTTTTTTCACTGTTGTGTTTCTCATCTAGTTGCTGGATACTATTGTCCTCTTACTGTTATGTTTCTCATCTAATTACTCATCACTTAAAACTGCAAAGGCAAAGCACAGTTCTACAGCCATTTTAATCAAATACTTAGAGAAGCCTTGTTTTGTAGATACATCTCTTCACTTTACATGTTTATGTAATTGAGAACATTGTTAATGACTAATGAGACACAAACTAACATAAACGTCTCAGGAGTTAAGGACTAGAGTAAGACGTGTGTGACATGTTTACCAGCAATATTTGATGCTTATCTAGCTAAAGAACAGATCATTTCTCTAAGTCATACAAGTTTTAGCCCCTTGTTTGACAAAGTATGAAGTATAGTTGATCAGCCTATTGTAAATTGTAATAGTTTTTATTAGTTATCTCTCTTATTTGAAATATTTCATATTTGATACGCTTTTAGCCTCTCGTGGGCCATGTTACAAAGTTTGTATTATGGAACTCAATGGAATAAATCAGTGCTAAGTTATAAGCATGCTCTAAACCTTATCTCTTTGTCATTTTATATCATCAAAATTCGGAAGGAACAGACTTTATATATGGCTTTGACTTGACATTTTTTTTATTTTCAAATTATTTATGATTTAAAATTTGGCTCAAGACATCAAACTAGAGGCCCAATCATTTTGTCTACATAGTTAAAGGTTCAAAAGACTGGGCATTTTGACAATCTTTAATATCATGCAAAGTACATGGCCTCAAAGATCTTATGATGATCTTGTATGAGCTACTTACATCGTAAGTTCATTAATAGTACTTCGTAGCTAATTTTCATGTGGCTCTAACTCTAATGCTGTTGACAGGCGAGAGTTGGGCATGGTAGGCAATTCTAGATTGTAATCCACTTGAGTTATAATCTGTTTGTAAACTATAGCCCAAGTGCAATAAAATTAAATCTATAAAGCAGTTATATACTTTTGGGGCTCCCACTGACGATGGCAAATTGTCAGATTAAGTGAGGCTTCAAATGGCTCTGCTAGACCCCTATGTATTCAGATTGACTTTACCATTGATCATCTCTAACTATACACATAATGCAGCCAGATCTAGTTAAAGGTTTACCCCCATGATATTTTGGGTCAAATTTCCGGTACTGTTAGGGCGTCGTATACCCACCGGCTCTCGTGATCCTATTGGAGCAATGCTTCTTTTCCATGTTGGGGATTCATATGATTCTAGTAGGTAATATATAAAGCTACACTTACCATTTTTGTTAAATTATAAAACAAACAGTTACATTGATCCCACCTTTAATTTCTCTTTATGGTTAGGCAGGTTGTTCTTGATTTATGGTTATTTTCGTCGCATTTGAACTTGCATGTCACATATAGCAAAATAGATGTCTCCTGAAACTTATTAAAATGTTCAAGACTGTTAAGCAGGAAGCAAACCCATCCGCCAGATGCAACTTATCTTCTCCTAAATCCTAATTGTGAAATTCCAATATATCTGCTGGTGACCTTATAGCTTGAATTCATGCGAAGCTTTCTGTGTTGTTAGTTTCGAGCAAACTGTGAAACATCGGTACTCGTAAACAAGGTTTTAAATATCGGTTCTCGGGGATTTATCGAACTGCCAAAATCCTTATCGGATAGCGGAAATCGAGGATATATCGGAGATAAGTAGTATTTATCGGAGTGATATACTGGATGGTGTATATATATAATATAATAACTAAAAATGTAATCTAACCATACTTAATGAAATATAAACATACCAAAATGTAAATCATCATGTTTAGAATCACTATCCAATTGTAGAAAGCAAAACTTGCATCTTCACTGCACGATGAAACCATTCGATTGCATATCCTTACTTATCGGCTGATAATCCCGATAAAAAAACCTTACTTATCGGTCGATAAGTACCGATAACACCGATAACTCCCTGATAACTTGCCAAAAACGATAACCGATTAAAAATCCAAGTTATTTTATCGGAGAGCTCCCAAATCTGATAACTCGGCCGATAATATCGATTATCGGCCGATATTTAAAACAATGCTCGTAAACATGGGTTTTAATGGACAAAGAACTTCATTTTGTAGGGGAAGCACCAAGGAAGGGAATATGCTGCATGCACTTTTGAGTTTTTTTTTTAAATGAAAGTTCCTCTTTTTTTTTAAAAAATCTAATGTCACGTACATGTTTCTCTTCCTGTTCTGGTCTTCTTTGTTCTTTTTGCCTCTGAAGTATGAATAAAATGCATGTGCTAATGTCATATTAAGCAAAGACTCCCATTTACCGATGAAACGTGTACTCAAATTATTAAAACCAACTTTTCATGTTTATGTGCAACTGTCTATTCAATGATCACTAGTTTGATTCTCACATTTGTCTGCCCTTTTTCAGCAAAGGGGAAAACAATCATATCCTGAGGAAGTTCCAGCCAAAGAGTGTCTGGTACGTTACTGTGCTTGGATCTCTGGCAACTACTCAACGTGAATATGTTGCCTTGCATGCATTTTGCCGTCTTATCTTGCAGGTCTGGATCATTTTCTTAATCTACAGACCTTTCAACTTCATTGCCTATCTAGTATTAAATAGTGATGCATTGTTTGACAACACAGATGCAAAATGCTACGTTGAAGCCCAGTCGAAAGCACTTCCCCAAGCATGAAGAGCAGCCTCCTGCAATGCCAGAATGCTATACTCCCAGTTTTATAGATCACCTTAAGAGGACTTTTAACGGTCTGCAGTTGGAAGCAATTCAGTTGGCTGCAATGCATACAGCTGCAGGTATGACCAATGCACTTACAAACAATCTAGTGAGTGCAGTTCCAAGAGCATCAGTGTACGTTCAGTTGATAAAGTATTGCTGAGTATGGACCAAAATCTTTTCTGCACTCTCCCAAGACTATCACCTAAGCCTAGAATGCTTGTTTGTGCTCCATCAAATGTTGCAACTGATGAATTGCTAGAACAAGTCCACGACCGTGGATTCATTGATGGTGGGATGTCTATGTATCGACCTGATGTTGCTTGAGTTGGAGTGGATTCACAAACTCGAGCAGCTCAACCAGTTTCTGTTGAGAGAAGGACTAAGCAGCTTTTAGTTAAGGGCTGTGAAAAGGTTATTGGTTGGATGCATCAGTTGAGAACTCGTGAGTCTCAATTCTCACAACAGATATCTCTTGTTCAGAGACAACTTAATGCAGCTGCTGTAGTTGGTCGATCTCAAGGCAAGATTGGTGTGGATCCTGAAGTTCTTCTTGCTCGCGATCAAAATAGTAATGTTTTATTGCGAAGTCTTGCTCAAGCTGTTGAATAAAGGGATAAAGTGTTGGTGGGAGTGACCCGACTTTGTATCTTGGGAAGCAGGTTTCGTCCTGGGAGTAACTTTAATTTGGAAGATGCTCGAGCTCGCCTTGAAGCGAGTTTTGCTAATGAAGCCTAGATATTTCACTACAGTTCAAGTAGTGATCGGAAGATTATTTTCTCGTCTCTCACATGGCCGAGGCAAGTGAAGTAGCAGTACTTCCTCCACTTCCGTCCGGGGAGTAACTTTAATTTGGAAGATGCTTGGCTTTCTTCTCCTCCTCTTCACGAGCTCTCTTCTTGTGCTTCTTAATACAGGAATCATCGTGATGATCTGTGATCTCGGATGTTCTCCAGATCTCTTCACTGCATCTCGAACAACGGAATGTCATGATCAAGCACACGATCTCCTCTCCTTGGTCGAAGCGATGGACGATTTTATTGGTCAATGGTTTGGCCGTTGGGTAGGTTGACAGGATCGGGTCTTTTGAGAGTCGCGTCCATCCTTTTGGGGTCAGCCATCGTTTTTTGTGCTAGGTTGGAAGAGATCCCAAAAGGATGGGCGCAACTCTCAAAAGACCCGATCCTGTCAACCTACCCAACAGCCAAACCATTGACAATCGTACCCCCACTAAATCGTCCATCGCTTCGACCAAGGAGAGGAGATCGTGTGCTTGATGATGACATTCCGTTGTACGAGATGCAGTGAAGAGATCCGGAGAACATCTGAAATTACAGATCATCACGATGTTTCCTGTATTAAGAAGCACAAGAAGAGAGCTCGTGAAGAGGAGGAGAAGAAAGCCAAGCATCTGAGGCTCAAAGATGCTTCCATGAACAAATGAGGTTAGATTATTTCTACTTAAATTGAGTGATATAAGACAGTTTCTTGAATTTTCTAGTGCAACGAATTAGTTTCTTGAATAATCTGGCACAACGAATCGATTTATGATCTAAGTATGTTTCTGAATTAGTATTGTGTACATGTTTGTCGTCAAGAAATTCCTAGGAAAAATTACTTTTGTTTAGGATTGCTTTACAATCAACTAGTTTCTTTTGCTAGCTCAATCTTGCTTAGTCTGACAAAATATTAGTGAAAATGATGCCTCCTTTTACCTTGGAACATAGAATGTTCCAAAAATTTGAAGTCCCTACATCTGGTCCAAGGGAATCCTTAGTATAATACTGTCTAGCTGTCCAAATATCTACTTTTATTCCTGGGTTTTACAGGAAGTACTAACCGGATCCCAGTTTTGGTTGTTTCAAATATTTCAATAGGCTCGTATAGTTCTCAAAACCCAAAATTAATACTATTCACAAAGATTTTTGATGGATAGAAAGCATCTATATCCATTATGCAGTACCACGTTAATAGAATACATCACAATGACTAATAATCTCATATGGACAAAAATCAGATCTGTTTAGCTCCACAGATCTGAAAATACTGAGGTTAAATATTCAATTCTCTAAAGTGTCAGTATAACTTTTAACAAGGGAAGATCATTTTGTGCTACCAAGTCAATAGAATGTTACCCTCCCTTCAGTCATAAACGCAGACCTTGGAGGGGGAAGGAAATACGTATTAGCTTCATGAAAGGAGAAGACCCAAAATCATGAAAAGGAGGTTAAAAAAGATAATCATAAAAAACTAACAACAATTACACAAATATAGTACGGACCCAAATCTGAAAAGAATAACATAAGTAGGTTGCAATAGTTTATGCAAATGATGATACTCACAAACTTGTCAGCCAGTCATGAACCCAGATCTAGAACCTTTACGAAGAACGGAGCTGAAAACCCACTTGATGGTCTTCAAAACTATACATTAAGAGAAGAAACACAAGGAATTGGTTCAATGTCCACCTTGGCCTAAAAATCTCCCTCACTCGTGACACCGACTAGTAAAGACTTGCAACTGATTTCTATATGGTAAACCTTCTAGGCAACACACTGGCACTAGCAAATACCAAACTCCCTCTCAGATCAATGTCATAACCATACATGGCTATACCAATAAAAAAAGAACTTGGACCACATCTCTCGCTGTTCGGTGTTATACCCCTCTGTGGATGTACTGATGAGCAAAGACCATAACCTGTGTATTCATGATGAGAAACGAGTAGACCCCAGTTCACTCAGTTAGGTGTCGTGAATCTCAGTCATTATGCTATAATGTTCACTGTTAGACTAGAAGTGAACAAAGTTCATTCACTATCATCCAACTTCCATTAGATCCATTATTCATTCATCACTCATCTGACTGAACTTTTGTTGATTCCAACAAAAAGCACTCCAGATTCAAATGTCTATTATATGTTACATACTGGTATCAACTTTCACCGTCTGCACCTGTCCATCGAAGGCAAAGTAAAAGAGGATTCAGTGTGTCACATTCCCATCTCATGATAGCCCTATATATGTGTTAAGTTTCGGGCACATTAATACTTTGCTCTATTGGATTATGTGGAGTATTTGTTATGAAAAGCAATATGAATTTATTGATTCGACACAGTTAAGTAGATCAATTTGCTAGGTTTTTAATTTAAATTTTAGATGTGATTTATCTTTTAAGTATTGGTTTGGATGATCATTTAGTTATTGAATTTCAAATTTTATAAACGATAAAAGTTGTCTTCGTTTTCAAATCTTATCAGGGACAAATATAGCACCTCAGTATTTTATAAACTATGCGTCCCGGTCATCATTAGATTATTAAAGGGGAATTAGGGAGCTAACTTTTGGTAATATTGTAAAGGACAGTCCATCACCTGTGTCTAAGTAACCTAATAGACACACACATGACATTGCAATTTATGTAGTATGTGATCGCTGCAGCGTTTACATTTGTGCATGTGCACGTTGTAATCTATGAATCAGTTTACTAGACATACTCAATACTCAACTTGGAGCTCTTATCTATTTGCATTAGTTATGAACTAGTTGACTAGACATATTGAAGAGGAAGAGTACTGGGATCTATATTTATATTGACATTTGACAATATATTAGTCGATGAGACTGAAAAATGAGCAAATTTCAAAGTAAGGAAGGTGGAAAAAACCTATCGAATCTAAAATATCTAGGATTTATAGATCAAACAGAATACTTCTCATGAGAGGCTTTTGTCTTTAGTTGATAGTACATGGAAGAGCGCTTTTAGAGGTACTAAGATGCACGTGGTGTCTAAACCTGAACTCTTCAGACCTGAGTTTTGAAGGAGTTCAAAGTCAGGCATTTTGCTATCTAAGTGAACAGGTCACAAGGGCAAAATTGAAGTTGGATGCAGCTCAAGTTCAACTTCAGCTGAAGCTACATGATCCGGATTTAACAGACTAAGAAAAGGATTTTACTGCGAAAATACACTCAGTTCATAAATGCAGGGGTAAGTTTCTACGAAAAAGATAGTAGAATCCAATGTTCACTAAATGAGGATAAGAATCCACTTTTTTTTATTCGGCCATGATGAAGAATGAATTAGGGTTTTTCAGATCTCTTCATTGATAGAATGGCTTGGCTTATATAGCCTTACACCCACATTTACACAAAACCCCTCTAATATTCCTTAATTACATTATCTTTTCAACACTCCTCCTCAAGATGAGCGAAAGATATCTATTAAGCTCATCTTGTCACACCCTCTAGCTAGATCTACTGAGTTAAGCCCTTTAGTCAAGCAGTCTGCAGCCTGCTCCTTAGTTGGAACATGGCCTAATTCCAGTAACCCACTGTTCAGCTTCTCCTTAATGAAAAATCTATCAATTTCGATGTGCTTAGTTTTGTCATGCTGAACTAGGTTGTTAGCGATGCTGATAGCTGACTTGTTGACGCACCACAAACTCATCTTGACCCATTGGTCAAGGTTCAGCTCCACCAGCATGTTTTTCAGCCACTTCAACCCCGCAACCCCTAAGGTCATGGCTCTGTACTCTGCTTCAGCTATTGATCTTGCCACCACAGATTGCTTATTGCTTTTTCAGGAGACTAAGTTGCTTCCTACAAATATGTAATATCCTGAGGTAGACCTCCGATCATCTCCGCAGCTAGCAAAATCTGAGTCATAGTAGCCCTCAATGTTCATATGGTCACTCCTCCTAAATCTTAGTCCTTTGCCAGGGGCACCCTTCAGATATCTCATTCTCAGTATCTGATACACTACATCCATATGACCCTACCTCGGGTCATGCATGTAGCAGCTCACCATGCTTACCGCAAATGAGATGTCTGGACGTGTGTGACTTAGGTAGATCAGTCTGTCCACCAATCTCTGATATCTCTCACGATCAACAGGTTCTCCTACCTCAGCATTCAGCCTGAAACTCTGATCAATCGGTGTAGCAGCAGGCTTGCACCCCAACATCCCCATCTCTGCAAGAAGATCCAGTGCATGCTTCCTCTGAGAAAGAACAATCCCCTTAGGTCCATAAGCTATCTCTATTCCAAGAAAGTATCGAAGCTGACCCAGATCCTTCACTTCGAATTCTTTGCTCAATCTTACCTTGAGCTGAACCCAGATCCTTCACTTCGAATTCTTTGCTCAATCTTACCTTGAGCTGAGCAATCTCCTTCTCATCATCCCCTGTGATCTTGAGCTGAGCAATCTCCTTCTCATCATCCCCTGTGATGATCATGTCATCCACATACACTGTCAACATAGTGATGTGACCCCCACTTTTTCTGAAGAATACGGTATGATCGACATTGATCTGTCTATATCCCATACTAACCATGGCTCTCCTGAACCTGTTAAACCATGCTCGAGGGGACTGTTTTAGTCCATACAGAGATTTCTTCAGCCTACAGACCTTACCCACTGTCTGTTCTGTGCCACATCCAGGTGGTATCTCCATATACACCTCTTCCATTAGATCTCCATGAAGAAACGCATTCTTCACATCCAGTTGGTGTAGTTCCCATCCACCATTTGTTGCCAGAGAAATTAGCGTTCGAACAGTACTCATCTCCGTCACTGGTGCAAAAGTCTCATCGTAGTCAATGCCGACGCCGTATGTCTGGATGTACCCTTTTGCCACCAGTCGTACCTTGTATCGTTCAACCTTCCCTTCTGGGTTCTGTTTCATAGTAAACACCCACTTGCATCCCACTGTTCTTTTTACTGCTGGTAGTGTCGCTAACTCCCACGTGTGGTTCTTCTCAAGAGCCCACAG